AGCCAAAATACCATCTGGCCAGACAGGCCCACCCAAAAAAAAAAAAAAAAATCCCAGCAAGATTTTTTTTATAAATATAGACAAGCTTATCTAAGATTTATATGAAGAAATCAATACATTTGACTGGGCATGGTAGCTCATGCCTATAATCCCAGCACTTTCAGAAGCTTATACAGGAGGATTTCTTTTCTTTTCTTTTCTTTTCTTCTTCTTCTTCTTCTTCTTTTCCTTGTTGTTGTTGTTGTTGTTGTTGCAATTATCATTGCTGTTTTAGCCGGCCAGGGCCAGGTTCAAACCCGCCACCCTCGGTATATGGGGCCAGTGCCCTACCCACTTGAGCCACAGGTGCCACCCCAGGAGGATTTCTTGAAGCCAGAAATTTGACACTATCCTGCGTAACATAGCAACACCCCATCTGTTAAAATAATTTTTTAAATTAGCTGGGTACAGTGACACATACCTATAGCCTCAGTTACATGGCAGCTAAGGTGGAAGGATCACTTGAGCCCAGGAGTTTACAGTTAAAGTGAAATCTGATCACACCACTGCACTTGAGCCTGGATGACAAAGAGATACTCTATCTCTTAAAATATGAAACAAAACTTGATCACATGGAGATGGAGAGTAGAAAGAAAGACTGAACAGACTGGGAAAGGAGAGTGGGAGGGAAGAAGAGGACGAAAAGAAGTGGGCAAAAGGATAGGGTACAAACATACAGTAAGTTAGAAGGAATAAAACCAATGCTTTATAGCAGAGTAGGGTGACTATACTTAACAAAATGTGTTATACTCAGGTGCTAGATACCCTAAATACTCTAACTTGATCACTATGCTTCATGTACAGATAACAAAATTTCTTATATTGGGCGGCACCTGTGGCTCAGTGAGTAGGGCGCTGGCCCCATATACCGAGGGTGGTGGGTTTAAACCTGGCCCCAGCCAAACTGCAACAACAACAAAAAAATAGCTGGGTGTTGTGCCGGGCGCCTGTAGTCCCAGCTACTCAGGAAGCTGAGGCAAGAGAATCACCTAAGCCCAAGAACTGGAGGTTGCTATGAGCTGTGATGCCACAGCACTCTACCAAGGGTGACAAAGTAAAACCCTGTCTCCAAAAAAAAAAAAAAATTTCTTATGTACCCCAAATACATTTGTATACATTTTATTAAAAATTTATAAAACTTATTTTATAAAAATTTTATACAATTTATATAAATTTTTAAAAATAAATAACTTGGGCTTCCCAGGAGGAGGATGATTAAAAAGTAAAATAGAATAAAATTTATATGAAAAGGCAACTGTCCCACTAGCAACTGAGCCATGGACCCTGACCCATGTCCTGTGAAAAGTAAAAACTAAATTAAAAAAAAGAAAAGGCAAAGGACTAGAACAGCTAAAACAGTGTTGAAAAAAGAATAAAGTGGGAGGAATTATACTGTTAGATTTTAAGACTTACTATAAAGCTACAGTCATCAAGATAATATAGTATTAGTAAAGTAAAAACCACAAATATCAATAAAAGAGAATAGAGGAGCCATAAGTCGATCCACAAAATGACACCAATT